TTTCTTCTTTTAAAAGCAAAATAAACTTTTGTTCTTTCAAAACTGAATTCCTAGCCTTTCTTCACTTTTTCTGGAAAGTAGCGTCAAAAGACCCTGTGACCAGAGTTACATAAAAAACTACCACTGAATTCTGTTAAGTATTTGAGCAGTGTCTATCTTCAGCACAAATAATGCATGCTCAAGCATGTAGACAATTTGTGGCTTAATTATACCTTCAGCACATATCACGGACATTTATTGTGAAGCATTTACAATTTCTTACAGACATACATAAAATCGAGTAACAGTCAATGCAGACTGCTGGAAGAATTGCTCGCGCTCTTGAGAAATAAGGGTCCTTATTTAGACGCCTAATTCTGGGTATCTTTCATACCATTGCTTAACAATCTAGTTAAATGAAAGCTCTTCCTTAAAAGAGCTTTCAACGTGTAGCAATTCAAAGCAACAGCCAGATCAAACTTCTGGTTTGCAAACATCAGCGGAAAAACCAACTTACCTGTAGGAAGAACTGGTAATGGTTTTCCTTCCAGCTTATCCAAATCCGTAGTAAATAACGGAATTCTGGGATCGTCATATGCAACAACCTCCCTTTATAACATACGTAAGATTTTTAAGTTATTCTTTTTAATTATTTAGAATAAAATTATGTATTTTACTATTTCATAGAAATTTATACATTTCATTATTTTAATGTTATTTATTTTTCAAATTTGGCAGTTAAACTGAAATACAATTTCTAATAAAATAAGGTAAGGCAGCATTTATGGTGGAATAACGGGTGAAGCTTTATGTAGAAGACTTGCCTCTGATGAAGATTATTTTTAAAAAAGTGAGAAGTTTCTTTGCATAACTAATCTGTTTTCCCTCACGGGCTGTCAGGATCTCCAGCTATACAAGAAGTATAGTTTATGAAATTAAGGGAAGAATGCTGTCGGCTCTAAGAATACTTGGAGGGGGAAGCCTTCATTTTGGAGAAAGCCATCTAAACTTCTTTGAAAGGGCTTAAATACATATTCTACTCTTTCTGCCGTTCATTTAGCGGAAATCATTCCGTATGTAACAACGAGGCTGAAAGTAACTGTGAAGTAGATAAGCTTTAAACATCAGCACTAATTAAAATAAAGTGTAACATTTGTATTTTTTGTCTCCCTCCTAAACCCTCTGTATTTTTTTTCCTATACATCAGTGATCAAGTCTTTCTGCACATTTGTACAGTCACCTGTTTAAAAGGTATTTATTCAGTTGCCATGACAACTAGGTTGTATCTCCAACAACAGTGATTTAATAGGTGTAAATAATACAAATCTTTCTGATTGACAGATAGGTAATTGGAGACCAACTTTCCCATAGCAAGACTACAACAACAACAAAAAAAAACATTTTAAACACTGTCTGTCATGGTTTCAACATAAATAATTATCTATGAAGTGTTCGGGCAAGCCTTTGCAAGGACTGTAACAGCTCTATAAGGGTCTTGACACTCATGCATCACAGAACCAGAGGACCAAGGAAGAAATAAGGCTATGGTTCAACTGCATAAAAAACCACGAGGGAAACGCAGAGAGATTCCCCCCTACCTACGCTTCAGTCTACACGTACACCCTGTGGGGTCAATCTAACAGTTTTTGTACTTGGCCATCCCACGTATACTCTGTGCTGTTGGTTCAAGTGTAATTTCCTTTATCCTCCTACTTACCAATTGACATTCTGAGGTCGAATTATAATCTTTCTGTATGCTCCAGAAAGCGAATAATCTCTGATTTTATGCCTCATGTTGTTGATATCAAGATTGTCAGCTACTAGCATCTCCTTGTAGGCCTCACCAACTGCAAGAGAGGAAAATACTTAATAGGAGGGAGCGTAGTGCGGCCGATTGAAACAGCCCGTTTCCATGGATCATTCCTTCCCTTACATTTAGTAGTTTTCAGTATATATGGAATAAATATTATACAATAAGTAATTTTAAACTTCTGTGTATCTTATTACCTACAGTGTTTGCTTCTACAGCCTGATTACAGCCTCAGCAGTAACCAAGGAAGAGCCTTAGCAAATCAAAGTTTCAGCTGAAAACAAAAGTCACAAAACATTTTATTGACATTTCATTGACGTCTCATACATGCTTTCCAATTGAAACTTCACAAGACTAATCTCAGGTATATGGAGAAAAAAAAAAAAAAAATAAAAATGGGCCAGACTACCCACTGGTCCATCTTTGAAAAAGCAGCAGAGTGAAATAAGTTTAAGAGAGCCCTCTGAAGCAATGAGCTGGCAGGGACCTAAGTACACTGCCGACAGAAGGAGTAATTCTATTACAGTCTTGTATCCTCAAGTAAGGATGTGTGCATGCACACCTGTGAGGACACGGAAGGCAATGGAAATACAAGCAGGGAAGGCAATGGAAAAACAAGAATATGCTGCAGCTAAAATGCTGTCTGGTGCCTTTGATTTGCAGTGCAATTGCCAGCATTACTTCATGCAGTTGGGAATTTTAAACAGGAATAAGTTAGGCTCGCTGTGAGCAAATCCCAGTATATATAAATTGAATGGAAAAAAATTGAAGCTTTTCTTTCCAGTCTTTTAACTCGATGTGGTTCAGTGCCACACCTCATAACAAACAGATCTTTACCTTCCAAGTGTTTCAGAGGTAGGTGATAAATGGGATTATACCTCTGGGACTTATTTCTGACAGGCAGAGAGTCTCAAGAGACCTGACTGGTCTTTTAAGGATAATCAGGTACAAGAGCAGTTCAACCAAACATTGACGAAAACAAGCATACGTATTGGGAGACTGGTTTGCCTGAGTAGGGAACTCATGACTCAGTTCATATGTAAGGCCACATACAGTAGACGAAAGCTAGGACCAGCTACAAAGAAGGAATATACAAACATTGTCCAGGCACGTAGGGATGGTGTTAGGAAAGCCAAAGCTCAGATAGCATCAAAATTGGCAACAGATGTCAAGAGCAACAAGAGTTAAACTGCAGCATGAGGAATGAAAGAATACAAGGGAAACATTGGCCTGCTGCTAAACGGGGCACATGGTCTAGGGACAGACATAAGGCTGGTGGTCTCAGTGCCTCCTTTGCCTCGGTCTTCACCAGCAAGGTCTCCCAGGCCTCTGTGCCTAGAGGTAAGGTTTGAGAAAGAGATGGACTACCAGTAGTGGAAGAAGATACAGGCTGAGAGAGTGGGCTCACGTCAGGATAAAGCTTTTCTCAATCATCTCTGAAAGATCATAGAGATCTGGGGAGGTCACAGGTGACTGGAGAAAACCAAGTGTTGCACCCATCTTCAGAAAAGGCAAGGATGATCTAGGGAATTAGACCAGTCAGACTCACTTTGGTCTCTGGGAAAAATAATGGAGCTAATCCTCTTGGAACATGTTTCTGGGCACACAAGGAGAGTAACAATGAGCACGGTTTTACCAAAGGGGACTAAAGGAAAAGAAAAACCAAAAAACCTACCAACCTTTCTGCCTTCTATGATGAGATTACTACATCTGATGAGGGGAAAGCAGTGACTGTTGTCTACCTTGCCTTTAGCAAGGCTGCTGACATGCTCCCACAGCATCCTTGTATCCAAGGTGGATACAAGTCCACCACACTACAGGGGGTGGACTGCTAGATGGGTGAAGAACTGTCTGGCTCTTCATTCTCAAAGGATAGTCACTAGCAGTTTCAGCTCTACCTAGAAGCTTGTTACAAGCAGAGTTCCTCAAGGAACTGGGATGTGTCCTGTCAAATACCTTTATCAGCATAGGTGGAGGAGCTGGAATTCACCCCAATTGTGATCAAGCTGGGGTGGCAGCTCATACACCCAAGGGCAGGACTGCCATTCAGAGGTACCTAGGTAGGCTAGAGGAATGGGCCAAGAGGAACCTCATGAAAATCACTAAGGACAAAATCCTGTACCTGAGAGTGATTAACTCCTTGCGATGGTACAGGCTAGGGAGTAACCCTGCTGACAGTCACCTGAGACCCCTGGTGGAAAGGAGACTTCACAGAGCACCTGGCAGCAATAAGAGCTAACAGCAACAGGAGCTTAGCCAGTAGCTGCACCAAAAAACCCAATTACTGCCCTTTACTGGGCACTCATGAGACTGCACTTGGAATAGTGTGTTCAGCACAAAGCTGATAGACTTGAAATAGTCCAGTGGAGGACCACCCCTATGGCCAGGGGTTGTAGCCCATGCCCTGTGAGGAGAGTCTGAGAGAGCTGGGCTGCTTTAGCTTAGAGAAGACTTAGAGGAGAACTTACAGTTTCAGACAAAGCCCTGAGAAAGCCGGCCTGAATATAGCACTGATCTTGCTTTGACCAAAACGTAGGACCTGATGGCCTCCTGAGGTCCTTTCCAACCAAAATGATTCTACACCTCTATCCCCTAATAATATCATGTTCCATGCAGCTCATTATAGGTCCCTCAACCTGTTCCATTAAAAACAATTTTGATCCAATACACCATATATATAGGAGATGAAAGATACGCTTTTTTTTATTTTTACTTTTAAAACTTTCATATTGGTTAGTATTTAAATAAACAGATCTGGTTCTTTTCCCTAATTTCAAGTGTTTGCTTGTGTTACAAATTCTGTAAGTTTGGTTTGTTTTCTAATTTAAAAAAATCAAATCCATACTTTTCAATTAACATGTCACCGTTTTTTTGCCCCGTGTGCCGAGATAAATAATTTTGCCTCAGTAAAAAATTTCTTTCTTTGGAAAAGCTACTAGCTAAAAAGAAATATGAAACAGATTTATGTTAAATGAAACAAGTTACAATGCAGACTATTATCACAACGGGAGAGGCTGACAGTAACGTATCAGAGATCTGAAATAGTGTATTGTTTTAATGGTCACCAAGGTTGCATAGATCTCATCTTCCTTTTAAGAACAATCTTAAGGCAGATTTACATTTTCAGAGTACGTACATAAGTACAACAGTCAGACTTACTTTTATGCTTTGGATAAATAACATCAAATCCAGGCAATGGCATCACTACGTCGTGGATAGTGTAGTTATCAACATCTCCTTCTTTGATATGAACAGCTGTGGCTACAATCAGGACAGAAAAATGGAGAGTTACCAGTATGGATGCCTGTGACAGTTCACATTAGCTAAATTTGAAGTGAACCATTTGATGGAAACAAGCCTATTTTGAGAGGCTTAACTACTGTGTTTTATCTCCACTTAACAGACATTTCCAAGACAAGAAGTAACAGTCTTCAAGGCAGAAGGCACCGGCAAAATCACAGCCTGGTTTCCAGTGACGTTTAAAGCTGAATGAAGTAAGGACTGCTAGATGAACAGTCCCCCAACCAGGCATCAGGCATACATGAAGGAGAAATCCTGTGGATATTCTCACCCCAGGAAACACCAGAGCAAATCCAAGTGAAGAGAGCTTTAACCAAGTGAGGCCTCTGCTTTAGAAGATACTAACGCAGACAAAAACTCTGTGGTTAAAACAGTCATCACATCCTTCCACAGTTCTCCATAGCTCAACTAGGTTTGAGTTCATTCTTGAGAACAATCATAGTCTCTCTTCCCTGTCCACCTATTTGGAAAACAAGCAAACCAACAGCTCTTGGAAGTATAATACCTAACTTCAGTTCCTTCTGAAATTTGGCTAAAACTGGCCAATGGATTCAGAAATCACTGGACCAAAATGGGTGAGAGGGAAAACAATAACCCGTAAGCAGTATCACATAAACAGGTATGTGCCTTGTTTTCCAAGGAATTTGAACTACACAGCATCACTGGCTTTTTGTTTGTCTGATTTTACCTCCTTTAAGTGTGAGGTCTCCTGGTACAGCTCTAAGCCCATATTCTTCTATTCTCTTGCTCACCATATTATTCCACACGTAACTCTGGTAGCTATGAATGTACATTAAACGATTATTTCTTGGTATCTAGAGGTAAAGAAAAAAAAAAGCAACATTAGAAAAACATATTTTTAGTGTTTTTTCTCTCAATCATAACCAAAAAGGCATCTATTTGAAATGCTGCCTTCTCCAGCAACAAGACTAACACAATTTCTTGGGATACAAATTTGATTTTTGTTCATTATTTGGGAAAAAGGTATGTGAAGAAATTATGCTTTTATACATTTGAAATCTGTACAAAAGACCCCTGTGCTTAAGTAAAAAAAAAGAAAAAGCTTTTTTTTAAATTTTGGTTTATGCAACAGCTCATCAAACACATGGGGCTATTCTAAAACACTGAATTCATACTCAACCTCCTGAAATCTTAAGTAAACTTTGCGGATGTGAAAGCACAGTAATCATTCTAATTATCTTCTTTATAAACAAGAATGAACTTCTTGGCTCCTACAACAGGCCCAGTAGTTTGCTGGTGATGAGGTACTTTGGAGAAAGCCTTGATCTTGATTACAATATGTGAAAACAACCGTGAATCCACCACCTCTACACCAAGCTGATTCATTAGCACACTATCAGTCTGATTTATACTTTTAAAGCAACAGAAAAACTCTGACACTGAACTTTTGCACCATTCTCAGATCTGTATTATACATGGTTACTAAGTATAACTATTGCTTCCAGTGTACTAGAGCGATTGTTGCATAAATTGGAAAGCTCATTATGCATACATTAATTACAGATGTCATCAGTTGCCATGTGGCAGTACTGCAAGCAAAAAGGCAGGATAAATGTAAAGATTTTACACTTAACATTCTACTCATCAAGCAGCTATGAGTCTATTTCAAATTCATCACGATACCATCAAAAGAGCGTTTATTCAAGTCAATACCCCACAGCACTTTTACACTCACTATGCCAAATGCAGAGATTATGTTCTTCATTCCATACTTTAAGAGTCCGCGTAGAAGCTGTCCTTCCACGCACCTTTTTACGGGTAGTTTCTTGAGGGCTGCTGCTGGATCTTTAGTCTTTGCCCATTCTTCTCTGCATTTTACTAAGTATCCCTTTTCAGCTAGAACAAGGATGTAAAATAAAAATACTTTAACTACGCACCAAAAAGCATCCATCTCACCTTTGGTTAAATCAGTTGAAAAATTAAAGTTTCAGTCACGGTTATTACACAGATTAACAGAATCGCGCAACAGTTGAGGTTGGAAGGCTTCACGTGGAGCCTGAGCAGACTCTGTGGCAAGTATTCAGGTCCCTTTTCACCCCCACTGCAAGAAACTGCACAGCAAGGGAAGAGAAGCAGAAAGGCAGAGAGTCTGGAGATTGCTTCTCCATCGCTAAACTGGCTGAAGTTTAGCACATGCAAAGCTGTCCTCACAAACATCCTTTCAAATTAAGAGAATCAAAATCTAAAAGCGGTTTTCCAGACCATACCATTCCTGGAGGAGGAGAGGCAGAAACACTCAATGTATAATTCTTCAGTCCTTACCTCCTGGTCGCGGTTTTAGTATCAAATCCATTACTTCATTCCAGTTATTCTGTAGAATAGCTCTAAGATGCAAACAGTAGAGTTTATTAAGGACTGCCTAGATATATTTTAAGGATGTTTAGACAACTTCTAAAAAAATTAGTTTAGATTTATGCCAAATTAAAAATAGTGGTATTATACAAGATACCTGCTGAAGCAACTTCAGAAATAAGTTTTCTTGAATCTAAAATTAAAACTGGCACATGCAACATGCCAGAAAAACATTTTCAAAAATACATTAGAAATAATACAGGAATAAAAATTTTTTTAAAAGGGGGGGGAGGGGAATGATGAAAACAACACATACCTGCCGATCTGATACGTAGGAACAGCTGTGGTTCCAAATCTTTGCATTCCATAGTAATTAATGAACCCAATTTCCCTGAGAGAGTGCATTGCTTGCTCTATCTGGTCATCAGTTCCTGTTATGTTTCTAGTGTTAAAAAAAGTTATAGACAGGTTATTAAGGGCTTACACTATTTTGTGATCCCAATAATATTAAAGCTCAACATCAACATTATGTAGCATTTACCAAATTCAACAGACTCCTGCCAATAGGACTTCTCTTTTTTGTAACACAAGATGCACTGATATCCTTACCTCCTTGAAGAAGAAAAAAATTCTAACAGAACTGTCTAAATATATACTAACATATTACCTGAGAACAACAGTGAAATGGTTCCCTTGCAGTTCTCCTAATTTCAGTGGATGGTTCTTGTAACTGAAATTTCCTAACTTGAAGTTCATCAAACATTTATTCAAATGAGCAAGTCGTTGTGCAGTGATTCTACAAAGAAACAGAACAGTGACCAACCTATGCTTGGAAAAGCACATAGTTAAATAAATAAATGCCAGCATTTCAAAACAAAGAGCAGCGAGTCCAGTTTCCCCAATTTTCTGTTGTTGTCTTTTCAACGTATTTTAATGAAATATCTAAGAAGAAGAGAACAGCTAACTCTTAAGGCTGTGTATAGAAAAGGTATACTGTGACAAAGACCACTAGTACTGTCTTTTCACATCTGTGTTACAGTATGCACTCAAAAACCAGTATGCTGCAATACTGATTTGTGCTGTACCCCACAAGCTGAACTCTGTTTTATTTGAGTAACTCCACCATGAATGCACTCCAGTTAACACAGTCCTAAACACACAGCTAAGTAGTTAGCTACTGTGTAAGCTTAGTGCGGATGAATGAGTATGAAATCCAATCTGTCACTGATACCTATCATTTTTGGTTGCTACTACTTTCGGAAGCATACCCTGTTCTTTGCATCACCGAGGTGCTCTTTGACGCTTATGCTAAAATTCATACCAGGATAGACAAGTTTGTCAACTAGCCTGGCCAGTGTACTTAGAGCAGTCTCCTCTCCCGTGCCACCCTTCTCCAAGGCTGCGCAGGGGAGTCGGGTTCTGTGGCACCACTGAACCACAAACTGGGACATTCCCCCCACCCCCATCAAGGCTTACAACTCACTCAAGCTTTTGGACACAACATTAAATGTCATCATGTTAAAAGTAAATGGAACAGCACCTGAGATGGCTACACCACAGGTTTGGTTAATTGCCATCACTTTGCAAACTTGCCTTGCAGCAACAAGAAACTGGGGCTTCTCGTGAATCACAGATTAATAATTCCTTTTAGATGTGCAAAGACACACACAGGCAAACCACTGGGAGAAAAACGTGAACAATTAAGTAGTGAATACCCTCCTTTTAACAAGGATTTGATCAAATTTATGGCTCTCAAACCTTGGAATTTTTCACTTGAGAAGCATGGATTTCAAAGAGCTGCAAACAGTAGTCCAGGCAGAATATCCAGCTAGCTAAACAGATACTGTAATATATGACTGTGAGGCATCCATCATTCTCAGTTATGGATGTAACACTAATTTCAAGTGCCCAGAAACCATATAATTATCTTAGAATATGACAGAATAAATTCTATTTCATCTTAGTAGGCGACTTATGGGAATAGGTTACGGCAGGAAAAATTCCTCATCATTTTTTTGCGCCTTCTGGCTACTCACAGATGAGCAAAGGCAGTGGTTAGCCTTCTCTGGAGCTGTTCAGAGAGTTCAGTGAGAAAGAAAATAGGATTCCAGCTGGAGAAAGGGGTAAACAAAAATCAGGAAGGAAACGGGACATAATTTTCACCGTGTCATTTGGGTTTTCTGCTGTCGTGCAGCATAAGAGCACGTGGGCAATGTGGCCCGCTGCTTCAGCCAAATGCGTGTGTCCAGCCTATGACTCGGAGCACCACCGACTGAAAATACTGGCAATCACCGTGGAAAAAAAAAGGATTATAGCTTCTCCATTAACACATGTGCTTGACAAGATCAGGACCTGAACCCACCATTTGCCTCACATGGATACTGAGCCTTCAAGGAATTTAGCGAGGTATTCAAGTCACCGTGGTAGGAGTGCAAATACTCCAGTATATTTTCACTTACCTAAGAACGGCGATCTCTTGAACTGTTATAGCCCTTTTATCTTTAGTTCCCATGTAGGAAAATATGTTTGGCTTCACTCTTAAAAGCAACAGTAACAGATATTATGTATATTAAAATAGCCACAGATCAAACATAATTTGCAGCCTAGAATTATTAATCTTCTATACAGAAAACATACATATAATCCCCAGAACTAGGCTACAATTTCACACCCTTGAACACGTGTGGCATTTTCTAATCTCATCTATAAGTACCTAAAACACAGGGAAACTTCTCTGTTTTAATTATATGCAGGCAGATTTGCTGTGCTTTCAGAATATGAGTTTTGAAGTACTTTATATACATCCACTCAATGCAGAGGCACACATCCACCACTAATTTCACCAAAAAAAAAATTATGTCCATTTCTTCCTTAAACTTTAAATAATGTCTTTTTGAATACCATGCATGCACATTATGTGGGAATATGAGAAGTTAATTTAAAATTTGATCCATTTCTTTCCTTGAGAGGAAAATTTCCTTTCCCTTCCACTTTGTACTTTACAGCCTGTGTTACACAGGGAATGTTTCCAGTTATTCCAGCTATGGGCACCAGGGGGTAGCAGGATTGCCATTACATACATTTTTCCACCAAACTATGCTTTTACCATTCTGTTCTCAAATACAAATTCTAGTAGTACACTGGTTAGAGTCTAGATTACAAACATTTATTTTTGGACAGGGAAGGCGAAGGGAAAAGGAAAGGAGAAGTGGGGAAGTTTCCCTAGAAGTAGATCACTGAATTGACCCAATTTTAAAATAGTCCTTCCTCTGCAATTCACTGGGTTCACATCACGCCTTCGGGCAAATCATTTTGTTGCTGCACTTGATGGGGTGAAAATAACTAAGACTGTGTTGCCATGGAGAAATTAATACATAGAACAACAGTTTATCAACTGTAACTGCCTAGGAACTGATCAGCATATTATCACAGGAAAGCTTTTAATTCAGGTTGTGCTTTGAGGCTTTGAGCTGCTGAGCCTTTCTCAGATCAGCCAACTTCAATTGTGGACCTTTTTCCATTGAAGTAGTAGGGCACAGCTCTTTAAATTTCTTGGGATCATTTTGTTCCATTCTCACCTCCTTCTGAAACTTGTAAGTTTCAAATTTGATAGTATAAAATAACTTTTTTTTTTTTTTTTAAAACACTGGCTACAAATTAGGCAACACTTGTGTTGCTCTTACATAATTCTGAAGCATAACATTTACAGTAACATGAAACATGCGGGGGGAGGACTGCTCAGTAGCCAGGTGGGCAGAAACAACAGCCTTACCTTAAAAATTTGGATAGGACATTAATGGCATCCATAGTATCCTTGTTCTCCTTGTACAGTACGAAGTGGCAGTAGCTTCCCCTAGATTTTGGCCAAGAGTGTTTTCTTGGATCTTTAAAAACAAAAGGTTAAAATTTGTCAAGTGTCATTTTTTTTAATTTAATGGCTATCTTCACCATTGCAGCTACATTTAAAACAAATATGCAAATCAATTTCTGCTAATTTCCATCTGCTTTTTTTTAAAAAAAAAAAAAAAGAAAAAAAAAGAAAAAAGTGAATTACTGACAGCAAAAGCTGCAGAGCACGTTGAAAAAGACGTTCTCCCCTTCCACTGGGCTGTAAACATCTCTTTGATAAATTCTGTCACCTAGAAAATCTTGAATGAAATGGTGACAGTTCCTTTGTCATGAAATTATCTAAAAATACACCCTAGTCATTTAACTGCCATATTGCCTGATTAAATTTCTCAAAAGCATTATCATTACACTGACTATCAGCAATAAAAGCCACTCTACATTTCATCTAGTGCCTTCTCTAATTATTAGATGAGGACCATTGGAGCCCTGTTTGTGGGAAGACTACAATTATTATTTATAGTACTAACATATTCTTTATTTCTGTAGGATTTTTTCTGTATGTCATGCAAAAGTATGGATCGTATCTCTACAAAAGCCTAAAAAAAAAAGTATATTCACAATATTTTTAAAAAAAAGTCCTGTGGGAGAGAGAAATCTGGCACAAGAGAGACATTAACAAAGAATTCAAGCCAGATACTGTGCTGTGTTTAGAGAACACAAGAGGGAGAGAGAACTCCAGCTCCTGCAGACTAGCAACTGATTTACAATTCTGTACAACTATTTGGCATTTTCTGGAGATGGAAGAAAACTGTCAATGTATTTGTGAAGCTTTTGTTACACATAAAAGCCTCCAGAGATAAAACTTTCCTTTCACAATCAACCACTGTTGATGACATTACTGGGAAGTAATTCTATACACGTTTAGGAACCAATTTTCAGGTGCTTTGTTTATCAATTCTTTGTTTTATAAGAACAAAACTAAGGTTTTGTTTTAAATAAGAAGTCCCTTATCTCTTGGTAGCCACCAAGCAGACATTCCTGGTTTTGTACAAAAAAGGCTTAAGCAGCTTTCTTAAGAGCAAAAGCTAACTGAAAAAGCCAGTCCTATTCCAGTATATAAACACCAATGCAAGTCCTTGGAAAATTCTGCTCTTTTTGTTCACGTTAGTTTGATAAAGCCCAGATATCCCACACAGACAGTGAATATGTTTAATTTTCATGAAACTTTCTGGTAAAAGATAATTCTTCTTGCTTTCTTGGGGAAGCTGCCATCCATACACACGCTTCTGCAAAAACAATTTTGCATGCTACAGTATAAAATACTATAGACGTAGTTTTTAATCATCTAAAAATTATTGTAACACTTGCCTTGTACCATCAGTTTCTAAGCAACCTCTATGGATTTTCCTGGGACCTACACTAAGCAGTATGGTCCAAAGCCTGTTAAGAGACCTCATGCCCCTGCTGGTCTCCCTTCTGAGCCACCACTGTTCTTACAGAGTCAATGAAATCCTGCATTCAGCTTGAAGAGCAAGGTCCTTCATGAAGAACTTGGTAATTAGAAGGGACGAGAGGAAGACAGAGCGTGATTACAAGGAAAAGTCTTCTCCAGCTGGAATTCTTCTTTCAATTTAACTACACCACCTTGCACACAGTCATTTCAACATCCTTCAAAAACTGAGCCCTAATCTGGGCTAGACTAAGAGGACTCCATAGATACTATATATACCAATGGGCTCCCCATGCTTTGGGCATCACAGCCATGTGCCTAGCCACCATGCTGCTGGCAGTGGTGCCAAGTACTGGGAAGCTGCAGCTACAGTCCCAATATTCAACCATTCCTCACCCAATACTTCAAAGTATTCAACTGGGAAGGCAGCCCAGAGGGACAGTTTGCAGTCCTTATTGCTATGTTTCAGAGTCATGTTACATTTTTCACAGTAAAATCATATTTCCAAGCCCTTTTTCCAAACTTTTTACAGCAATTTGAGGGCTGGAAGCCCTTTTTTAATATCAGGATGTATGTAAAGTTGTATAAATACAGATAGCGGTGTCTGAAATACAAGGCTGAATGGCAAAGGCTTGGCTTAATGAAATCAATGGAAAATTTACCATAGATGTCAGGCTCTGTTGTCAAAACTCGTAATTCACATCACTCATCACTGGCTGCACCGAGTCACTACTGCCTATACTGCACTAGGAAAAAGAGGTAGCACAAGCCCAATTCCTGGCTGTTTCAGGGAATTTTAAATATTACTTATGTGTAGGGTTTTTTAACTGTTACTAGTTTGGCCAGTCTTGTCGCTGTTTAGGAGGTCGTAATGGTTGGCATTTCATTTCGTTAGCATGAAATGTCAACATCTCTTACCTGTTGCAGTTCTGACCTCTGTCCCAATGCATAGCATAAAGAGCACAAAAGAGTAGCATTTAATTTTTAGACTGTCGAAGGGTTTTTAGAGGTGAACATGCAGGTTTTATGGTTATGGGATTGTTTATGCTTTAAGGAGCATCCAACAGTTAGGTGGTGGATGACAGCAATTTGGACAGTTATGCAATGGAATCGTGCAGAGGCAAACAGTGACATATGGAAAGCTTCAACCGGAGATGCAACAGACTTCATTTGTGGACAACGATGAAACAGCAGTTTACTGACAATTTAGTAAGACAGTACTCTGAGTGTGAGCTTACTATAGACACAAAGCAGCTTCTGATTTTAAATTTTAGGAAAGTACGTTTGGTAACCTGTTACATTATCAACAAAAGTAATCAGGTACCTCAGCTAATATTCGAATATTCTACACTTCTGAAATGTTTCTTGCCTGGGGAACCCACTCAAGACTAAGATGCGTTAGTGGCGATATAAGCACGGAAGATAAATATAATCCTGCCTAAAAAGAACTTGCACTCGTAAATCCTACATTCGTAAGCATTTACACACACTCACTGAAACTGCACACATGCCCACCAACATGCACAGGTGTTTGTAGCATCACGACTTAGAAATCCAAGTTTAAATAGACGATGCTCCTCTGCATCACAAGATGGTGCTCCAGATAATGTTTTAATCCTAGAGACACATCACTAAATTCTTTTCAGTGCATTTCAAATACTCAAATTCTTTTATACAGTATATCTCTTCAGTCAGACCAGTCAGCTTAATATCAACCACTTGACTGTAACAATGGTTACGGAATAGAAGCAGCAGAGGGAGAAGGTGGAGGTAAAACCATTACAAACCAACAGAGAACAAAACTGGCTGAGGAGAATTTTGTGCTGGTAAGTATACATACTCCATGCATAAAGCATGCAAACATACACATTTTCTAAACACGGTTAAACAAAATACATAAACACATTATAATTGTACCAGTAAAAGTACAACATTCCCATATTTGCTTTGAAGAAGCCTTAAAAAATAATAACTAAATTGAACATGGAGATGGTGATGATGTTATTTTAAATTATCTTATTTCTTATCTCCTTATCCTTTCTCCATCTCCTTCATCTTTAAAATGAAAAGGCTAGGTGTACATACTGTCATTTGTAGCTGGTGGAAATGACACAAGAACGCCATCAGTTTAAACCAAACCTTAATATCTTTCGTTAGATGTGCAACATTCTGCATGCAGACAATCCTCTTAACTTACAGTAGCAACAAATTTGTAATAAAATTAGAAGATGTTGAACACATGGATTTATCCCCAGTAACCAAAACAGTGTTTGGCAAGATTAAGGTACACTTCATTTTGAAATACTTCATTACTTTGATTATGCCAAAGCCAGTAACCAAAACAGTGTTTGGCAAGATTAAGGTGGTAACACTTCATTTTGAAAATACTTCATTACTTTGATTATGCCAAAGTACTAACTGTGATTTATAATGAATAAAGACAATTTTCTGCAAATATAATTAGCCTTGGAAGCAGCAGTAGCCTTAAAAATAATAGTAAATATATTATGTTTATATAAAACTGTAACTCTGAGAAAACAAATAGGTGCTTGTCCCTATTCAAGTCATTGAGAATTTTGTCATGGATTTTCCAGACAGTCAAGATCACGCTGACTGTCAGCATAACGTACGCATTTCAACTACAACCTCTTACTTCCACAAGGGACACTTACACATCCAGGTAAGTTCATGAAAGCAAAGTTCAAACAATGCTGAAAATAAAGTCCCTACTTTGCCTATTCCCACTGAAAGAGCAAAAAGATCCTCTCCCTTCTAACATGGTTGTATCTGAAGAATGATTTGGAAAGAAAAAAAAGGTAGAAATTTAAATTTGAGACGCTCCTTGTGCTCCTGGTCATTTTAGATGCAGAGCATCAGTTGCAAAGAGGAAATAGCAAAGCCAGACTACATTAGGAGGTACGCTCCACTCGAAGGACTTACTAACATTTTTTATTCTGGGGACAATTTTAGCAGGTACTTTACCCAACTGCTGTGATACTGAAACTCACTTGCCAGTGCTTTTTTCCCAGCAGCATGATAAGCAATAATATATTTTTTTCCATCTCGATCTTCTGTTTTAGTCTCCAGTCCAGGAAACAAGGACTTCACAGCTTGATGGATAACTGTTCTTTTCTCTTTGGTGTCTTCAATTACCTGTGTTAATACACACACATGCAGAAACCAAGTGAAGTAATACAAAAGGGGAGGGATTCTCTCAGGGTTAAATTTCACATGTTTAAAGAAAACCTACCGAATCACACTAAAGTACTGAATAGGTAGCTTTTTGAAGTCTGGCCTACTTATTTATTATTTTTCAAACTAATTTTAATAACTCTGCTGCAAGCTCAGTCTCAACATTCACAACAGAAAATTCTCAAGATTTACTCCCCTCTTCTGTGCTTAATAAAATTCCCTCTTCTAATGAAAACTCTGGCAAAATGAAGTTTTTCTATATGCACTAAAGGAAAAAAATGGCTAGATAAGATTGTTTAAAGTGTGAATGCTTGTTTGAAATTACCACATTTAATCCTACTCATCTCTATGTCCCAAATTCTGCTCAACAGTTACTCTTCAAGTATATGGCATATCTGGATGTTTAAAAATGCCAAGTTTTAATTTCATTTTCCACTTTCTTATTTTTCTTGTTACAGAAGAGCGTATTTATCTTAATTTCTGTTAAAACACTAAGCACTGACCTTGAAAACAGTCTTTCATCAGGATGGATGTTTTATTTAATCCTTCTTAAATAATTATCCTATCAAATACTACTTGACAGAAGACCAAAATGTTAACACTCCAGAAATTAAAATGTGTATCTGAGTTCACATATACAGTCACACTGAAATTCAAATGACAACTCACATGCGTGAATTTGAGTGTATCCGTAAGGCTTTTCAGAACTTGAATTTCAACCCCAAACTGGAAATATTTTGGCATTACTTGTGGCATCACGTTGAACCTCTTTTTAGACCTTACATGCACTAGAAAGCGGGTACCTTCCACTCACTCACTCACTCTCTCAGCCTCCTCCTTCCCCACCCCAAACTTTGTATCCTTTATTAATTTTACCTCTATGGCAACACTAGTTTCCTTATTCTTAAGAAGCTGGAGCTCCTCTAAACGCTGCTTGTCCTCATCTGACAAAACTGTAAATGTTTCTTCTGATGGGTCCTAATACATATTTGGGGGGGGAAAAACAAACATCCAATAACCCTCACAGAACGACTTTCAGCCTTTTAATATTTTTGCTTAAGGAGCGTAGCCATTATCAAATCTTTACCTCAAAATTTACCTCATCATCCACTGGAACAGAAAAGTCATCTAAATGGCTCACACGTCCATCTTTGCCTATTTCATGGACAACAAAGTCTGAGTATCTGATGGGAAGAAACACATTAAAATTGTAATAAAAAAATAAAAATCTGCCATCACATAAAGTTCCTTCCCAAGAAGCTGTTTGCTAGAAGAATTCATTCAAGAATTCTGAATTCACATAATTCAATTCATGTAAAAGAAACTTCAACCATGAGAAAGCTGTACCTGTTCTCGCCCCTCAGAACAGAGAAGAAAGGCTGGCATATCCAAACACAGCAGACGCCTCTGCAGACAACCGAGCACCTGTGGTAGTTATGCTGAGCCATTCCATTACTTGCAGAGCAGTAATGCCTACCCTCAATCCCAGTCATTACTGACAATTTTAAGACTCTACTGCATTGCTACAACGCGAACACAAATGCACTAAACTCTGTCACTTCAAACAACCTGCAGGATAAAGTGCATCTGAGCCACTCTTTAATGAAAGCAGGACAAATTCAGCTCTGTTACATATATTCAGTTCTGGAGAACATCTTTCAAATAAACAGCTACTCTGCATGCTCTATGATAGCAACAAAGAATTTGACTGTGACATTTTCGATCAAGTCACTATGTCCAATAATAAAAACATCCTGACTTTAACAGAGCATGGACAAGTCTATGTTGCAATTGCTAAATGGTTTTTAAGTAGCACCTGCTTGTAAAGGAAAA